GCATGCGCAAACATGATTGTACACGCGACGTACACAAAATAACGTACTATACGGTAGAAAGTCCGTCTACTACACTGCTCCCCTCTCAAATAATTTTCCGTCCTCGGAAAACAAACAAGAACATAACACAAAAATTAATGTATACACTGCTGCCTCCTCAAAAGGCTGAATCGTTCCTGATTCAAAAAATAATAACAGAAGAAAAATAGATCACACTAGCCACGCGAGCATACCACACCAATCACCCAAAAATGTATCGCAGCAAAACACAGCAGCCAGAGACCATCTGCCATTCACGCAGGACCTGATAACACAAAACCCTGTCTGCCCACCAACCAGACCTTCAGCTCACGCGCTGGAACACAATCGTGGGAAATGCATACAACATCACACTCGCGCCACCTCACCAATCACGTAAAAATTCTAAAATGTAAGAGGACAAAATAATAAGAAGAGCAAATAAGAAAATGACCCTCGTCCTCGAGGAGAGCAACTGATAAATAAAAGAAAAAAATTGAGGAGAACAGCAAATACAAAACTCACGCCGTCTACCATGTCGTCCGCCATCTCAAGGAATGCTGCTCAGCGTCGACATCCTCACTTCTGGGCACAGTTTTACGTCGTGTCCGGGACCATCCATCCTTCTTTTTCTCTTTTCCTTTTCTTCTGGGCACAGTTTTACGTCATGTCCGGGACCACCAGTGACGACGATTGACAAGAGACGGGCGAGACGAATGATGCAGGACGAAGACGACGGACAAACTTCTTGAAGACTGACGAAACTGTTACGATAGGACGACCGGAGATGACATCGGAAACTGGGAGCGAAGGCCACGCAGGACGAATCCAGAAGTTGATTTTGACAACAGTTTCCATCACCGCTGCCACCAATGTATTAACTGGCCTTTCTCCACCTGCTCCCAGTCCCGTGCCATCTCCACACTTGTACAAAGGGGACGACGATGACTACATTTAGAAGACTGTTTATTGACACGACGAAGAAACACAACTAGACAAGACGAACTCAAGACGAAGACTACTTTTTACACTACAGCAACACGCGCATGCGCAAACATGATTGTACACGCGACGTACACAAAATAACGTACTATACGGTAGAAAGTCCGTCTACTACACCCCCTCGATAGGCGAAAGCCTTTGGGGAATCCTTAAACAATAAAAATTACAAAAAATTACAAAAAATTACAAAAAATTACACCGCAGCGGCACCTGTGACCATTACACGGGCTGAATCCGAACGCAGAGTCACAACTCCATGGTGCTTCGAGAGGGAAAGTGATTCCGTAAAAAGAAATATCGAGGAAAACAACGAGATTCCAAGACCTCCAGCAAGTCCTTCATGCTATGGGAGAGTAAACTCCCCGAACAACTCCGTTCATAGGCGCAGTATGCCCTAGTGCACTGGAAAAGTCGAAAACTCGAAGAAATTCCTCCAATATACAGCAAAGAAATATCTATCGATCAGAGCTCAGAAACGCTCAACCGCTCGCCACGAAGCATACTCAACTCAAAAGTCCTGCTGCACGTGGCTAAAAAACGTGATTTTTGGACTTTTTTGGAATTCTGCACACTTTTGCGTGTTTCCATGATACGACAAGTTGCGCACGGTCTGCTCACATTTTCAACTGCAGTGCTGCCAAAAAATGACATTATTATTATTATTATTATTCGCGTATCCGTCCCGAATGGTACTCACGACGGCAGAATTAACTGTGAGCATGTGTGTGTGAGAGTGGGAGAACGAAATGAAAAAGAAAAGAAGAGTCCTGCAACGAGAGAGCTTGGAAGCTCAGGGCCCTACGCTATGCTTTGTGGCTTAGCTCATCGTGCATGTTGTGGGAACTGATGGAAATGTTTCCTGGGACGGCGCTGACTCTGCCGATCACGGGCGTTCTGGAGTCGACGGGATCTCTCTCCCGACGTTTCCTGTGACCGGCGCTGACTCGCCCGTTCATGCCTATTTTGGAGACGACGGGATCTCTCTTCCAAAGTATGTTTTTGCTGACGCATCTTATCACTTATTCGGCAACTAACGTCCATTCTAATTTCATTTCCTCCTCGTGTCCCTATTTCTTTCCAGAAAGTCTCCTTATACATCAGGGAGTCGTACTGTATTGACAGCTACCCTAACGGGTCACGCCGCGCTCCACCCAAGCATGGGTATGATGAGGGACAGTGGCAACAGAAACAAAAAACAGCAAGCAGAGAGAGAGAGATACCAAGAGAAAGACAGCGATAGTAGTATATCTGGTGTGCGACATATAGAAAAGAGAGATGACAAGAGATACGCACAAAAAAGGAAACAATAATTATTTTTGCAGTTCCGAAACAATCAACCAGGTGATGGAGTGTGGGCACCCGAAGTCCCCCCCTGGACTCCACTGGAAGAACATTCCACGCAGGGATATCAGCGATAGGCCGAGCGTTGAAAACAGCCATGAGGACACATCGTCTAGAAGTCCACCCCGCTCGAACTGAAATTGCAGGTTCAAACAATTTCCCACGCGTCGCCAGGCAGCGTAACTCTTCTCCCTGCATCACCATCCATCTCCAGCAACCGTCTCCACTCACAGCTCATGCCTCTGCCACCACTGTACTCCTCCGAGCTTCGCAGTTTGAAACCATTCGGGGGTCAGCTACACCACCGCGAATGGAGAGACGAGGACGACAACGGTCGTGACTGAAAAGACACTGCCTTGGCGACCGCGTCGCGGAATCCTCGCCCCAGCAAGTTCAGAAACACGCCAGGGCGACTCTGGTGGACCCAGAGCCAACCCCTTGGCAAGACTAGTAAGAGGAACGACTGAAAACTCAGATAAAACGGAGCTACAAAAAGTGCAACCGTCCCATTCAACCACAGTTGCAACACACAGGGAGTCGTATACATGTACATAATACATGTACGACCAATATTGTGGCCAGCTGTGTTTGATGGTACGGTACGGTACGGGACAGATACGGGAGCCAGCAAATGGCAGTGTGTTGATGGTGCGATACGGTACGGGACAGATACGGGATAGCGCCAGGCGTGACACAAACAAACAAACACCAAATTAAAGCTGTGTGGACCCTGGCTAGCGCCAGACGTTACTGAAGTAACGTCTTCTGCATAGCTACGGGAATAAAGGTCAACTAAAGAGCAGTACTAGACTAAATGGCTGAGCAGATGTTACTCCATTGTTTTCTGTCGCCGGCATAGGTGCCGAGATCACGAAGGCAGCTGGGTTTAAAAATGCAGATAGGTGTGTGTGAGGCGGACGTCTCGCTGGAGACTTGCGGTGAGGCAATAGCGGGGTGCACCTATTCGAAAGGGCTGCCTGGTAGCATATGTACAGAAAGCAGTGACAGCAACATTTGCAGGGATGTCACTTGGCTGACGTAATATAATTATGTCCTAATAGCTTCCACCTGACCCGCTTGGCCATTTCAGATACAGAGCACTGGCCAGTAACAGCATAAATGACAGCGTGCAACAAAAAAAATCTTTCCTTGCAAGGGCACATATTTGGCCATAACTCTTGAACGGCTGGTCAGATCGAGACAAAAATTCCAGAAATTTTGCAGCTATTCATGCTCTTTCAACTGGTGTAGCACTCGATATGAAGTTACATATTCGACTTTTCAGGGATGTTACGACCAGTCTGCCCCCTTAAGATGGGACGAGGGTGAGCCCAACCACACACTAAGGGGCAATACTCGCCTGTGGGTCACACAAAGCCGTTGTAGACGCGTTGGCGGCTCTCGGCGTCCATAATGGGAGACGCTCGCTTCAGGAAGCCAATCCGCTGGTTAGCACGGGAAGCTAGGGAGCGGAGGTGGAAGGAGTAGCTCAGGGTGTCGTCGAAGGTGACTCGCAGGAGTTTCAGCCGACTCTCTTCACTGACCGGTTCTGCCATCAAATGTTGCTCGAGGGAGCTCCCAGGGCTGGCGATGGTGGCCTATAGACAAAGCCTGCGTCTTGGAGGGCTCAAATTTGATCCTCCACTTACATTTATGTCCCCAACGGGAAAACGCATCAATGCCCTGCTGGAGGAGCTCGGAGCCACAATCGTTGTCAGCTCTTGATGTGAGGTAGTGGAAGAGAGTGGTATCGTCAGCGTAGGCTGCTAGCTCCATACCTGGTAGGAGGTGGTCCTCGCCATCATTGGTGTAGAGGATGAACAGGGTGGGACCAAGGATACTGCCCTGCGGCACGCCAGCTTTGGTCGGGTACGGACTGGAAAGTTCACCTCCAACTGCAACCCTCAAGTGACGATCAGTCAGGTGTCCTTTCCAAGTGTCCCATGCCTGGGTTGCTTGGACCTCATTCGCTTCCTTGTCATTGGACATTATCAGTCGGTTCGGTTTGCGAATTCAAATACACACAACCAACCACCAACCTATGCCTGGTATCTATTGGGAAAGTGCAGCAAGTGCCATTGGTGTGACTAAATCACTACTCGACAGCGCTAACCAACGGCCTTCAAACTTGGAATGTTCATAGCATTTAAGATTTAACGCAATAAATAGAGTAGGCTACGCACTCAGTACAAACACCTATAGCAAAACTTGTTTCCATGTATAAAAGCTTGTTCCTTGAACGTTTTCTTGGCCATCTCATCAGAAGGATTACTGGTGCATAGTATTAGTGATAATTCCAAAGAGTGGAAGCAGGGGCGTAGAAGCCGGTGCGGACGGTCCCGCTTTGGCCGGACCACTTTTTTTTAACACAATGCCCGAAGTGCCTAAAGTGGCCAGAATGCAGGATTTTGTACCCGAATTTCGAAATTTTCCGGCAGGAGACCCCGACCCCCCCCCCCCCTGCCGGACCACCTCCAACGGCTGTGCTACACGCCTGGAAAGGTAAGCGCCGTCAATGCTGGCCATCAATGCTGGCCATCAATGCTGGCCATCAAGCTGAACACAAGCTTTACTCCAGAACACCGTGGAATGCTGGCTTGGTACGATAACGGGACGATAAGACCTTCGGACTATACGGCCTAACCACCTATTCGACAACGCAACGCAACAAGCACCCAACTTGGGAGGCTCAATTTCATCAAGGATAAAAAAATGAAAGGGACGCTTGTCGCGATGACAAATTGTAACAAACCGAATGCCGATATCCTACAGTACTGTACTTGGTAAATGACCATGAAGTATGAAGTATGAAGTATGAAGTATGAAGTATGAAGTATGAAGTATGAAGTATGAAGTATGAAGTATGAAGTATGAAGTATGAAGTATGAAGTATGAAGTATGAAGTATGAAGTATGAAGTATGAAGTATGAAGTATGAAGTATGAAGTATGAAGTATGAAGTATGAAGTATGAAGTATGAAGTATGAAGTATGAAGTATGAAGTATGAAGTATGAAGTATGAAGTATGAAGTATGAAGTATGAAGTATGAAGTATGAAGTATGAAGTATGAAGTATGAAGTATGAAGTATGAAGTATGAAGTATGAAGTATGAAGTATGAAGTATGAAGTATGAAGTATGAAGTATGAAGTATGAAGTATGAAGTATGAAGTATGAAGTATGAAGTATGAAGTATGAAGTATGAAGTATGAAGTATGAAGTATGAAGTATGAAGTATGAAGTATGAAGTATGAAGTATGAAGTATGAAGTATGAAGTATGAAGTATGAAGTATGAAGTATGAAGTATGAAGTATGAAGTATGAAGTATGAAGTATGAAGTATGAAGTATGAAGTGTGAAGTATGAAGTATGAAGTATGAAGTATGAAGTATGAAGTATGAAGTATGAAGTATGAAGTATGAAGTGTGAAGTATGAAGTATGAAGTATGAAGTATGAAGTATGAAGTATGAAGTATGAAGTATGAAGTATGAAGTATGAAGTATGAAGTATGAAGTATGAAGTGTGAAGTGTGAAGTATGAAGTATGAAGTATGAAGTATGAAGTATGAAGTATGAAGTGTGAAGTATGAAGTATGAAGTATGAAGTATGAAGTATGAAGTATGAAGTATGAAGTATGAAGTATGAAGTATGAAGTATGAAGTATGAAGTATGAAGTATGAAGTATGAAGTATGAAGTGTGAAGTATGAAGTATGAAGTATGAAGTATGAAGTATGAAGTATGAAGTATGAAGTATGAAGTATGAAGTGTGAAGTATGAAGTATGAAGTATGAAGTATGAAGTATGAAGTATGAAGTATGAAGTATGAAGTATGAAGTATGAAGTATGAAGTATGAAGTATGAAGTGTGAAGTATGAAGTATGAAGTATGAAGTATGAAGTATGAAGTATGAAGTGTGAAGTATGAAGTATGAAGTATGAAGTATGAAGTATGAAGTATGAAGTATGAAGTATGAAGTATGAAGTATGAAGTATGAAGTATGAAGTATGAAGTATGAAGTATGAAGTATGAAGTATGAAGTATGAAGTATGAAGTATGAAGTATGAAGTATGAAGTATGAAGTATGAAGTATGAAGTATGAAGTATGAAGTATGAAGTATGAAGTATGAAGTATGAAGTATGAAGTGTGAAGTATGAAGTATGAAGTATGAAGTATGAAGTATGAAGTATGAAGTATGAAGTATGAAGTATGAAGTATGAAGTATGAAGTATGAAGTATGAAGTGTGAAGTATGAAGTATGAAGTATGAAGTATGAAGTGTGAAGTATGAAGTATGAAGTATGAAGTATGAAGTGTGAAGTATGAAGTATGAAGTATGAAGTGTGAAGTGTGAAGTATGAAGTATGAAGTATGAAGTATGAAGTATGAAGTGTGAAGTATGAAGTATGAAGTATGAAGTATGAAGTATGAAGTATGAAGTATGAAGTATGAAGTATGAAGTATGAAGTATGAAGTATGAAGTATGAAGTATGAAGTATGAAGTATGAAGTATGAAGTATGAAGTATGAAGTATGAAGTATGAAGTATGAAGTATGAAGTATGAAGTATGAAGTATTGGGTGTGACTATAAGTTGGACTTCGGAGGAACTCTCCAAAATAGGCCGAATTGTAAATTAGTGAAGTACAAATTGTACCTAAATGTTCCTACGCTAGTTGATAGTTGTGAATGGACAGATGGTGAAACGTATTTGAAAGCAAGTAAGGTGTGTGAGAGCTAGGCAAAACATAAACTGTGCGAGGATTTCTTGTACTGCCATTGTCTGTAGCAGCAGTTCCAAGGAAATGCGGGTGCTATGTACAAATCTACAACGCTAGAAGTGTGTCGACTTTAAAGGGCACATTCTGTAGACCATTGGACTGGGCATGGTCGTTGTTCAGGCAGACAGAAAGGATAGGAGCAAGGAGGCTAGAGCAGAAGGGTAGAAGTGGCTTAGTGTCTGTTGGGACTAGGGCACTCTTGCAGAACCATACACAAGATGACTGATGACTGTCGCAAGAAAACGTTCTTAGAGACAACCAATCGTTCCTTGATGATGTTT